ACTACTACGACTGCTACTACTATTACTACTACTGCTACTACCTATACTACGTATACTACCTATACTACCTATACTACTACTACTACTACTACTACTACTACTTCTTCTACTACTACTACTACTACTACTACGATTGCTGCTACGACTACTGACGCTACTTCCATTTCCACTGCTATTGCTACTGCTGCTGCTGCTGCTGCTGCTAGTACTCCTGCTGCAACTACCACTACTGCTACTGCCGCTGCTCTTTCTACTTCTATACTGCTACCACAGCACAGCTACTGCAATAATTCCGCAGGTTCTTTGAACCTAGCAGCAGAAGCAGAAGTAACTCCTAAGCGGCAAGACCCAGGATGGATCCTGGGGCGGCAGCCCCTGCTGCGACGGCTCCGGCGACAGCCCCGGCAGCTGCCCCGACAGCCACCCCGGCGGCGGGGACGCAGGCAGCGTTTAATGTGCACTTTCGTGTTTGCAAGGACCCAGAACGCTCAGTTTCATCCCCATCAGACTTGCGTGCTAGGCCTCCGCTCCAGTGGGCATGGAAGGCCATGCATTGTGGCTTGCTCCGGAGTTTCTGCAGGGCTTTTACCGTTTCGGGCAAGCCTTAAGCCTGTAGCTCTGCACTCGAACGCTTGAAGGCCAGAGAGCAAAATACCACGCAGCCAACCATATCTAGTAGGACCGTGCTCATGAAATGCCTGAAGACCGAGCGCGCATCATCGTTTCCTCGGATTCGTGGACGCTGTCCTGGACTGTACTGTGGATCTAGGTTTCAGTGTTACTCTTTGACACGAGCTTCCAGTTTTGCGGTGGCCCTATCTATGTAAGCAGGCTGGAGAGCCGTGTCCAAGCAGGTAGTATCCTCCATGTAGATCGTTTACAAGCTTCCTCGCATGGACAGGCATGGAGGACATGGACGACGAGCTGAGGCAGGCTCTCCTACTCTCCATGCAGGAGTGGCAGACTAAGCTGCTGCAAAGGAACCAAGGTCACCTTGCCAAGTGGAGCCTTTGTAGCTTTTAAATTTTCAGCCATGCAGCAGTCGGCTTTTGGATCCCTACTGACCTGAACCTGCTGACAGCATTTTGGTGCCATGTACATGCCCTTGTCTTTCAGAAATCTTCCTTGGCTTGCCCTGCGATTTGAGTGAGATTTGTTCTGACTTCGATAAGGTCGGAGGGAGGTGCGGCAGCTCCAGGTGAGACGCAGGCCGGGTTTTCGAGTCTGCGTGGGGGACTTGAAGTAGAAAGCAGTCGGGTTAGTCAGATACAAGTGATTATAGTAGTTCCTTCTGCCTTCATTCCTTGCTCTTGATCGGACGGAGCCTGGACCGTGTGCTAAAAAAAGCGGCCTTGTCTTCAGCTTTAGCCTAAAAGCACTCAGTCGTAGATCTGCAGCTAAAACCAGGTGAGGGTTACCTTTTGGCATCAGTTTTCTTTGTGCCCACTTCGGGATGAGACTTCCGAAGCAGTCAGAGGCTGGGACTCGTCACATCTCATCACCAAACTCGTTCAACTATTTCGGGTGAAAACCCACCCTGCTGAGGCGTTGCTGGTGCGCTGTAGGGCACCTTTAAAACTCCGTTGTCATGCGCAGTTGGAGCCAAATCAAAAGCAAGATCAGATTTCCATCCTGTGAACCCTTTTCCTGCAGGCATCGGCTCCGAAGCGAAAGGCAGAGGAGCTGGCGGAGGTCGGGGATTGATGGTGAACCGAAACCTTCTAAAGCGAGCTTTCTGTCCCCAAGAGGCCGGAACCCTAAAGTGGACCCCAAAGACTAGAGACCCGACTGCAAAACCCCGAAACCGGGAGGACACCGAGATGAAGACTGGCGAAGCGCCGGCCTCCAGCGAGGCCCCCGCCACAGCTCTGATTCGCCCGTGAAACATAGCTTTAGCTGCTTTTCTTGTCGGAGAGCCATATCTGCCTCTTGTGATGGGGGTTGCGGTTGCTACTGTCCGCACTTCTGGTTTGTCCGGGAATGGACCGTAATCGCTAGGTGCCTTGCGGAACGGTCCCAAAACAGCAAGTACCGTTCTTTTCCGTGTATCATCACGACCATCATCGTCAGCAGCAACGTCATCCTCAGAATCATTTTTGGAGCCACAGCATCCCAGTCGAGCGACTGCCGCCGCCACCATTGCCTCCAGCACCGTGCCTCACCCGATGACGATACCTGACGTCATCTTGCATTTTCGCACTGTCAGGCCTACAAACGTAACAGCATCAATCCTGCGGCTCCTTCAAACCACAAATGCTGAAACCACAAATGCTGTTTCCCCAAGATTCCAAACTTCCAAACCCGATATTAAAATTCGAGAAACCCCAAACCTTAGGGTTCCCGAGAATCGACAGTCTCAACGCTGCACCCCAAGCCTCGAAGAACTCCTCTCCCCTCCTCGCCCCAGGGGAAGCCGGCAGATGGCGGCGAGGCCCCTTCGAATCGTATGGATGGTGCCGAAACCTTTGCTTTCTCGAGATGCTCTTAACTTTCTCAGCTGTAGGTCTGGCAGTGCTGATGTTTTGCAGTGGCTATTTCAGTAGTGTGGGTTTCTAGCACTCGGATTTATACGACGGGTGTACTTCTGGTCGTCCCCAATGTTGCTGTAAGTTAGATTCAGTTAAACGCAGGGTTGCCTCGCCTCGTCATATACGGACCGGCACCTCCCGCACCCGGTTCCGGACCGGAGTCTACCAGCCCCTGACCCGATCGTGAATCGCCTCCGGCCCAGCATGCTTGTCATTCATGGCGACAACGGCAGCCATCGTCATGGTTATCGTCATCGCCATCATCGTCATCGTCATCGTCATCATCATCACCATCCCCATCGCCATCGTCATCGCCATCACCATCATCATCATCATCATCACCACCATCATCATCATCATCGTCGTCGTCGCCATCACCATCACCAACACCATCCCCATCGCCATCGCCATCACCAGCATCATCATCATCATCATCATCATCATCATCATCATGAACCTTATTATCATCATCATCCTCATCATCATCATCATCATCATCATCATCATCATTAATTCATCATTATCACCATCATCATTGTCATCATCATCATCATCATCATCATCATCATCATCATCACGACCACCATCATCATCACCATCCCCATCATCGTCATCACCACCATCATCACCTTCTTCCCCCGCGGCGAGAATAAATCCTCGTCAAGCGCGCGCCTACAGTGCTTCGCAACGGCCGATCTTCACGGCATGGCACAGATGCCTTCGGATGGCTTACTTGTTCAAATCAAAAGTGAGAGTGCCCATACGCTATACAAAAGTGCACTCGTCAAAAGGATGTTAAGAAATTGATGGCCGCTCAGATCTTCATTCGGAAGTAACGATCAATGCCCCTCGCACTGGTAGCGGAGCTGTCGCTCTCAGCCTCCAATCCAACGAATGAAGGTTGGATTGAAGGCTGAGAACGACAGCTCCGCTACCAGTGGGGGGGCATTGATCGTTCATCACCATCACCATCACCGTCACCATCATCGTCATCACCACCACCATGACCATCACCATCACCGTCACCATGACCGTCACCATCGCCATCATCGTCATCGTCATCACCACCGTCTTCGCCATCACCATTACAATTACCATCACTTAAAACATGTCATCGCCCACTGCGAAGAAATTCCTGAGTGCACGCGGCATGTCTTAACTGTGATGTGCTCGAGAAAAATCCAAGTGGATCCGGCACGCTAGTGGTGAATGGACTGGAGGCGCTCAACAGGAGGAATCGTATCCTGCAATCCATCAAGATACTCGCTCGCAACCCTCTGAAAGTCCGACCTTGGAATATTCCAAGAGTCGTGAAGCCCGTTGCTTGGTGGAGCCCGCGAAGCGTCACTTTACTTTCCTCTCGGCACTATCGACAAGGCTGTGCTATGAACTTCATGTACTGCCAGTGTGGCTAGCTAAATTTCCCGGGACCTGTAAGTAGACCTTCACATGTCTCAGAAACCAATTCCTTGACTTTTGCTTTCTGCGGCAGGCCGTCCTGGATGGCAGATGGTTGCAGGATCCCAACTTCGTTCAGGCGAGGCATGGCGTTCTGTTTTGAAAGGGCTTTTTTCGGGTAGGCTGCACGTGTCCGTTGCGTAGGGTGGGGATGATTCGATTCGCGCGGAAGCCTCCTGCACATGGTTCGAAAGAAACAGCTGTTGCGCTTGACGACTGCATCGTGCGTAATTCGGATCATTTCCTTCCTCACGGGATTCCCAGGTTTGGTGGTGACTGCTGATTTTTTGAGCAAACTTACCGCCTTGCAGAACGGTTCTTCCAGCGGCTCCTCCAGATTTAATTACGGATTACAGCTGCAATCGGGTCACACACATGCGCTGCCTGTGATTGCGGTTGGAGGACTAGGCCAGGCAGACCGCGCGCCTCTCGACTCCCCGCCCCCCACATTGAAATCCACCGCTTGAGGAGTTGCTCGGGTCGCTGCCGGATTCCCATCTTCAGAGCTCTGCTGAAGTGTGCGGGGTTTCAGTCTTAAGACTTCTTTCTCGACGGGTGAAGTCTTGTAACATCCTGCAGCATGCCTGCAATGTTGGACTGCGTCCTAGAAGATGCTGCGAGATTCTGCCGCAACCACGTGATGAGGCCCGGTGTCGACATTGATGATCCACGAATTCAGGATGCTTTGAAAGAGGCCGGGACTTTGTCACTGCAGCTCCTCTCAAGACCTTCATTCACCTCTGAATCTCGGAGGTAAGCGGTGCTGCAAAGAAGGCCACGGGGGCTGCATGAGCCATACAAAAAGCCAGTATAAATCCGGGGCGGGAGGGTATAGTGCAACAAGCCAGTTACAGAGTGGTGCATGGCTGGAGTCCAGAGTTCAGAGCACGCTGGGAAATCCTCAAATTTGAAAGTCCTGGGCCTTGGACTTCGTGCCAGGATGAAGGCGGCTCGGACGACAAGAAAGAAGACAAAAAGTAGTGATTGCTGCCTCTAGGCAGCCTCGACCGTCGCAAGGCCGCAGCAGCAAATCTAACGCCCTACGCTAGGCCGAGCTGCTGTACCTAGATCCTGGTCCGCACATGACCTGTAATTGAAAATGTACACTGTTGGCCAATATGGAGCTGACAGACTCAAGCTGCGATCAGATGCTGCAAGGCCTGCTACCGCCTTGCAGAAATGTTCACATCCTTGACCTCAGGCATCCGTGATGGTGCAACATCTTCCAAGCAGGTGTAATTAGTCGGAAGTGCTGGCTAAGCTTCATGAAGCAATGCCTGTGAACGAGCTCATACAGAAGCCCTGTGAGTTCAAGTCAAAGGACGGGATTGCAAGGACAGATAGCGTGCCACGGAGCCAGAAAATGCAGCTGAGCACCGGGGTGCCGGTCCTGTTCAGGGTACCTATGTTAGGGAATAATTTCGTAAGAACAAGCCGAAGGTCCCAGAGCTGGTGATGCACACTCCCGCAAAGCCCCCTCTGTTGTGCCGCAACTGTCGGCTGGGCTGTGAGGTCTCGATTAGATGATGGACTGCCAGGACGCGCCATGGGAGCAAGCCAAAGCCTGTGCCGAGCCAAGGCTACTGGTTGCGACTGGGAAGGAGCTCCTGCTCCAGTTGAGGTGATCGAGGCTGCAGCAGCTCCAGCTGGACAAGATGCCGTCGAGCCGGAGGAGATTATTTCCCGTTTTCAAGCGGCTTTTCCTGGGGCTACATCTGAATCCGACAACGATATTACGGCTAGGCAAGACAGCAAGTCTCGTCGGCGTGTTCTGTTGAACCGAGCATTGGTTCCAGATGTCGACATCATGCGAGGCATCTCTCTGCAGAGCACGTTGGTTTGGGGAGGTCGGCTCTGGCGTTTGGCACCGGCGGGTCTGCCAGAGCAAGAGTTGGCAAGCAGGTGCGGTCGGTCGTTCTTCGTCGCTTGAGGGCTCGGGCTCTTTATCTTGTCGGTCACCTTTTGGAAGGCAGAGTGTAACTTAAAGCGACCCCAAGGTGGCGCGACTCCAGGCGAGTCGAGCACTTCGACGTTTTTCTTTCTCACACCTGGCGGACCAAAGGACACCCAAAAGACTCTTCCAGATACTCTTGTGACTCTACTAAACCATCAGCTGGGCTTTGCCTTTACCGGCCAGGACTCTCGAAGTTCCTTTCTCTGTCACTTCAGTGTGGCTGGCTTCGCATTTTTCTCGCCTGGTTCTTGGCGATCCTCCTCCTGGAGGTTCTGGCATTCTGGGACATTCTTTCCCCCCACATCCTGGTTCAGGCAGGGTGCTTTCCACTTTCTGGATCTATAGGACATCGGATTTTCGGGGCGAGCTGTTTAGGCAAAGGGAGTTCAAGCCAGGTGAGGTTGCTCTTGCTGCTGCTGCTGTTGTTGTTGGTTCTCGGTTTGGGGTGAGCAGTCACTAACCTCAAAATTTTCAGGCTACACGGCAGTAACTGCCGTTCTGCGGTTTCGGGGCTAAGGATTTAGGACATAAGAGTTTCGATTTTGGGGTTTGGAGACCTTGGGCCTTCCATGTGTTCACACTCCGGGCATGCTTTTGGTTGGCAGAGCCTTCCATCGGGAAAGCGTTGATGCGTTCCGATTCTAGCTTATCTATTCCCGGCTCCGGCTCCTGCCGTTTCTGACTCCGTGCTCCCGCATTTTCCGATTCTCCTCCTCCTCCTCATCATTGCTGCTGTCACCGCCATCGGCAACGTCTTCACCATTGCCACCTCCTGCATCTTCATCTGCAGCTTTATCTGGATCTTTATCTGCATCCTGATCTTCATCTTCATAGTTTTCGGCATCGTCATTATCAACATCGTCATTAGCACCAGCCGCATCTGGGTTTAGGGTTTAGGGTTATACCTCAATCAAAGCAAATCGGGGCTCACCAATTGCGTGGGCACCCCTCTGGTCTTCGATCCACCACACCCTTCGTAAAGCGCATCTGCCCGTTGTCGGAACGATCATCGCCTGGTGCATTCTAAGGTCACCTTTGAGGGCAAGGACTACGCGTGCCCTTTCGGAGCCCGTGGCGAACACATGACTTGCACAGTTAGGGGATTCCGGGGCTTTTGGTGGATCGACGAACATCTTCGATGCAGTATGCCATTGACAATTCAGATTTCGGATCTCCTTTCAGCAGTTTGAGACTTCCGCGATGACACTTCGCATGTAGCCTAGCCCGAAGCCCTAGACTCCAACCGACATCCGAAAACAATGGCGACAGCCAAGAGGAGCATGGGGGCTGTACTTGAGCAACCTGGTATCTCTGGTGGTTTTGGTCCTGGCTCCTGGCGGCGCCAGCAAGCTCTGCTTCCTTGATGTTGCAAGTGCCTCGGCCACCTGCAGCTGTGCTACTCATGACGTGCCAGCCTGACCGGGCTCTGTGCATTTCTCATGCCCCGGCAATCTGAGAGGTTCTCATCTCTTGACGTTGGATTGCTGTTGTGTTATGCTTATCACGACACTGGTGAAGATGGCGATGGGATGAAGATGAAGGTGGTGATGGTTGTTGGGGTGGTGGGTGGTAGTTGCAGCGGTCAGCCGCAGTGGTGAAGGTGATGCGGGATGTGCAGGTGACACTGACGGTGATGACGACGATGCTGCTATGATGATGTTGCTGATGATGATGA